ATGCCTTATGCCCAACCTTGTGATAGTTAAAACAAGATCCCTGGAACTTGCGCTGCTGATGCGCTCTCTGATCCTGCTGGGGTCCATTCTTATAAGAGCCCTGATGCTGATGCTGATGTCCAGAAAAAGATCTCTTGTTCTTGCCTTTGTCACCGCTCTGCCCTGCCTTGGTCTTCCCTTCCTTATCCTTCTGGAACATGCTAGTCTCAATCTCCTGAGAAGTGGCGGCCTCAGCTACCTCCCTAACTGAATAGAATCTCCTCGAGACTAGGTATCGGCGAAGATTAGGGTGAAGCCCTGCTAAGAACATCTGAGCCTGACGCTCTCCTGTCTGCCACATACCCGTGAAAGAAGCCCTGCTAAGAACATCTGAGCCTGACGCTCTCCTGTCTGCCACATACCCGTGAAATGTAGCAACTTCATAAACTTGCTCTCAAAGTCTGCAACTGTCATGTCCCCCTGAGTCAACCGGGACAACTCAAGCTCCTTCCCATCCCAGGTGAGGGTCATCCTCTGCTCTGGGGTAAACTGAAGTTGGTACCATCTCCCGGCATCTCCCTTCAGGCTATAGGATGCCAATCTCTGCTTCTGAACTGAATCTACACTCAGTATGTCAAGTATGTTGCTCACATCCTCCTTCCACTTATGGGCTACAAGGGGGTCTGGTGACCCTTGGAACTCCGGTGCCCTCATCTTCTGGTACCTCTCCACCATACGGAGCCAAGCCTCCTGCTCTGTGGCTCTATCTGGGACTGCTAGAGGAATGGCTGTGGGTGTGATCCCTGGGGATCTCTCTCTGACAGGGACGATGGGTATCCCCTGCTGCTGAGCTACTGGTGGTGGTGGTGTCTGTGGTGTTATATGAGTCGTCACTAACTCCTCAATGGCTGTCATCCGGGAAATAAGAGGAGCCATGATATCCACCAAATACTGAGGAGCCTGCTGCGGCTCCGGGGGGGCCTGCTGAGGCTCGGATTGAGCTGGCTGCTGCTCAGATGGAGTCTGCTGTGACTCTGCTTGCCCAGCTCTCCGAGTACGGGGTCTACCTCGTCCTGCCATCTCTCTGTTCATAAGAAAATAAGAGTTTATGAGTCAAAATAGACTTCTATAAATAGCGTATCACAATAAAATTTTTACAACATATAGTATTTGCACAAATACTTTAAACTTATACAAAAATAGTTGTCATAAAAAAAAATTTTCTCAAATTTTTGAGATATACGCATATATCGTCCTCACTCATACTAGGAAATCCTTACGGACTCTATACATGAATCCTAGAAAACTCTATCCTAGCTCCACGACTCAACACAGGGTGATCCTAAGGATACTAGAACTAGAGCTCTGATACCAACTGTGGTGTTCAGACAAGGCTGCAGTCCAAGGTGAAACCAAGAATGTCAAACCTGCCATGCACCACACCGTGCAATAACATGTTTCACCATCACAATTAACATCTATCTAGTAGAGTCAACAATAGGTGCAGGTACAAAAGCAAGTAAAAGATAGTACAAGAAGTAACTGATGAAGTGATAGTGATCACATTAATATCTCATCATCCAACATACAAAAATACATAGTCAATATCTGAATAGATAACTGAAATACTCAACAAGTCTCAAATACAAATATCCGACAAGAGGAAATAAGGCACACAACCTTTACAACTTCTAGAATAAGATTATCTCTTACTAGAGAGGATTTTAGTATTTAGAAATTTACAACACGAGCATAGGTACGTTGAGCGAAATAATCCAAACAAGGAAACCCTCATGTATATACCTTGTATCTCAAATTGTAAATCCCTAAACACTAAACCCGAGGTTATAGTACAGGAAATAATAATAAAAGAAATACAACCAATCTCAGAGCATAAATACAGTGCCATGTCATAGCTTACATGAGCATCATGTTATAACTTACATGTATGTCATGTTATAATCTATATAAGTGTCATGTCATAAACTCCTGTGAGAAAGTCATATACAGGGTTAAGAAATATGTCCGATACAGGAACTAAATACTGTGGTTTCTAAACACATGGAATAAGTGACAAATGTCCAACACGAGGACTGAAATAGATTATAGTCCAACACGAGGACTTATATGGATTATAGTCCAACACGAGGACTGTGTAACTGTAAAAAAATATATGCGGACTGATATACATAATCTAAACTCACCCGCATCTCGGTGTACATGTCTAAACTTGTGTCCAAAGTCATCCCACATGTACAGATAAATCATTAACATGGTAAACTAGGGTCAGGTTATCGAGGCGACCCCGAAGAGCAACTCAAACAGATCAAAAATCTGTAAAACAGCTCATCAGTCGACTGATGTGTCGACTGATGACGTCAGTCGACTCATATGTCGATTGATAAGGTTCAGGCAGCACAACCTCAGCTCACCAGTCGACTGATCAGTCGACTGAGAAGCTGAGAAAACAAAATCATCCCGTCAGTCGACTGATGACTGAAAATTTTAGCCCGTCGGTCGACTGATCAGTCGACCGATTAACTGTAGAAAACTCTGCACAGGCTATTTTTTCACCTAAATTTGATCCAAACTCATCTCCATCAATCCCAAGCATGAAAAATACTGATATCAACATATTTGCACTAAACTGGAATGAAAGATCACATGGAAACATTTATCAAAAACCTTAAACACATAAAAACATGTTTAATACGTTTTGAAATCAATAAATCATGAAATAACTCTTGTCAAACGTTTTTCAGATCTAGATATCTTTAATAAAACATTGATGATCTTTTTCTAAACTGAGAAGCTCAATACTTCACATTATATACCATAAAGATTTATTCTTTGTACTAAAAATACGTTTTTGGCTCAATAAAAACTCATTAAACTCAATAAATTGGTGTAAACAAAAGGGACAGAGTTGGGCGAGATGTTACTCGCCTCTGGGTGATGAACAACTCCTGGATCTGAGAGAGTGTGGATCCCCTTGCTGCAATGTGAAGATTTCGCCGAAAATCCTTCAAGTTTTTCCCCAAATCACCAAGAACAAGGCTAGGGTTTGAGATAGGGGAGAGGGGGCTAGGGTTTTCTCATGTGTGAAGGTGAGAGAGGTGATTTCGGGTGAGATGAGATATATACGAACAGTCAAACCCGACCCAAACCCGAACCAAATCAAAACAGACCTGAAACCTGAAAAACTGGAAATCAGCGTATCAGTCGACTGGTGTGTCGACCGATACAGTCAGTCGACTGATCTGGAAAAATTTAGTTTTTGTGCATGTTTTACTTATTTGCAAAACCAACGCACAAAACTCTACACCCATACTCTCATATCATCTCAAATAACTTGTTATCATGTACATCGATGACCTCAAGCTATTTATCATAAAAGAATTATTTATTTACTAATAATTCACATATATTCATATAAAAAAATTACGGGGTTCTACAGCTGTTGATAATATTGTGTTAGTAGTGGGTTTAGTCCCATATTGGTTATGAGGACAAACGTCACCCTCCTCTACTTGTATATGTATGTACACACTCAATATTCAATTCAAGGGAGATTTACCCAAGACTCTCTCTCCCTCTCTCTTACTTTAACAACACAGATCATGATCGACGTCAATAACAAGTTCAAGCATCAGTGGTTGCAATAACATACCGGGATGTGCTCAAGTCGTGCACATGATGAAGCTGGACCTTCACGGCGAGTTCAAGTAGAGGAGAATGTCATGCTTTCACAACTTCACACACAACCAGACGATGAGGTCATCCAAGCTCATGTTGAAGGGGAACGGG